AATTAAGCTTCTGATTTCATCCCTTTAATAGTCTCTCAGCTTTTAAACATTATGAATAAAAATGGTTCTCATAAAAAAATCATTTTTCTCTTTCAATTTAGTTATTCTTTAATATTCGCATTGCTTCATCATCCAGATTTCTATAAAACCTTTGATCAAGTGTAAGATACAGTAGCGTACGCATTTGGTGTGGGGGGGGGGGATAATTAAAATTTTTTAAAATAAAATTATTGTTATTTAAAAATATCAAGCATAAATTTAATAGGACTAATAACTATTTCTAATATACAAATTTAAATTAATATGAATTATAAAAATATAATATATAAACCGATATATAAAAATAAATTTGATTTAAAAAATATTAAACGAATATAACCGGCGGCATATAAATACTTTAAATAAATCTGAATTATAAAATATTAAGTGGATATAACCAGGATAGGATGACTATAAAATAAATAATCCATAATAGAAATTTAAATTTTTTTGAGCTTTTAAAATTTATATATAAAGTATAAAAAATCTAAATGTTGGAAATATGAATAATTATATTTTTTATGTAAAAGAAAAATATATAAGACAGCACAAAAAATATTATAGAAACATTATATATTTATAATGTAAAATCCAATCTTCGTTGGGAGGGAGCTAATTTTTCAATTATCTCATCCGTGTTTGGCCTCTAATGCCTATGAATATTCAAAAGGGCCAGACCATTCAACCTACTTTCAGAAGTTGTACTTCTTAGGTACGTTTTTAATCTTCTTAAAGAAGAGAATGTTCTCTCATTAGTTGCAGTACTAATGGGAAGAGTTGCTAATATATATAATAATTTTAATATATTGGGAAAATAATCTAAAAGATGTTTGAAATATATCAACCATAGTTAATCTTTTACACCATAGATAGTTGGGATTCAGCTAATAAAGCATCATGAGATACATTAATGTCTTCATGATAAAAATCTTCCAAATATTTTATTTTTTTTCTATCACCATCTGAAAAAGGTTCAGAGGGCTTTTGCGGAAGCAATATCAGCAGATTGATAAGTGTTTCTTGATAAATTAAAAACCTTTCATTTACTTGGGTTATAAATGTATCCAAAAGAGGTATAAAGACATTTATTTTATAATATTCTTCTATTGATCCTATATTAATATTTGGACGATAAGTTTGCCTTACTGTAAGTCAGGGAGACAAATATTGAACTCGTATAGCTCTGCTTTTGATTCAACATTAACATATAAAATATGAAATTCCTCATCAGCATTAGCTCTAATTTCTTTGAGTTCTAATAAAATTGTCTCTGCTATTCTCATCATCTCAATCAAATCAATATCAGGTTTTTGAAAAGTATTACATAAAATAGTTGTATAATTAAATAATTTATTAATACATTCTAATGCGAAAAAAAAATTTGGTATAAGTATTGAATCCAGTAACTTGCTTGCTTCTGAAGAAATATCTTTTTCATACATTGTGATATTTCTATAAGAGCATTAATAATCGGCTCTTCTAACTCGATAAAAGCTGTTACTGCTTGATGTCGAAGACTCCATCTTGTTGGGCAAGCTTTTTGCAATTTTTTTCTCCTTGTTGGGCAAGGAGTTTTAGATATAATTCTGTTCAAAATATTTTGACGCTTGGGGTATCTAAACATCTCATAGATGCTAGATATTTTACCTGATATAAATATAAAAAATTTAATTTAATAATTAAAAACCTAAGCAATTTGATATCAATGGTAAAGAACATGAATCCGATATTGCTAAGTTGAGTGAATGGGCAGCACAGTGGACATATATAGCTGTTGGGCATTTTTTTTAATAAATGCCTGAAGCCCATTGAATTGTCCACTCATTGCACGTGCTCCATCATACCCTTGCCCACGTATCATATTTATATTTAGCTATATTTTTTTAAATAATTATAAAATAAGATTAATTATTACTTTTAATTTTTTAAGATTCACAAATATTACATCAGCTAAAGCAGACCCAGTCATGCTTGAAACAGGAATAAATTGGAGAAACATTTCCTTGATAACGTTTTTATGAGTATCTACATATCGCGCACACAACGACATCTGCTCAATGCCATCAATGTCCGTGGTCTCATCTGCCAAAATTGAGAAGCATGGGGCAGAATTAATTTCAACAACCAATTTTTCTAAAATGATATTGTTGCAAATATCAATTATCTCATTTTATATCCTAGGCCTGAGATAAGTAGCATTTTTATTGGTACTAATGAGGCTCTCCATTAATACAGGATCTCCTAATGCTTTAAATTTTAAAAGTCCACGGAAATTACCTTCGTTATCATTATTATTAAAATTTAAGCTTCCTGAATCCTTGTGGCCACGAAGTGCTAGGCCTTGCAAGCCATAATATAAAATAGCCTCAATAGTTAATTTTATCTTGCCTCTATTTTCTTTTGCAATTTTAATCCTATTTTTATCAATTATTGATGAAATGGGAATCATATCCCCTTTTGAATTGATTCTTTTGAGGAAATCATCAGTTCACAGCTTTTGTTTATTAAATTATCATACTATACTTTTTTGCTTTTTGGCATGATTTTCACCTTAAGCGTTTTTTAAAAAAAGTCTAATATCCATGACTAGAAATTTGAAAATTATAATACCGGGAAATTTAAAAATAATAGATAAATATTACGCCACAAGGAAAACTTGAAAATGAAATTAATTGATAAAGTAAATTAGTAAATGAAAAAGGTAATAATATAAAAATTTAAAAAGAAATAGATATGAATAATTATAATAAAATATAAAAATATAAAAAATAATATTTTTGAAAAATATGTCCGCTGCATTTTGGCTTTGGGGGGGGGGGGGGGATTTGTCCCCCCCCCCCCCCCGCTGCGTACGCCAATGGTAAGATAAAATATGAATCCAAAATAAAAAAATTATCTTCCTCTTTAATTATCAACTTGTCTTTTTTTTGAGTTGATGGTTAATAATTTTATATCTAAACTATGCTATCATTTTTTAAAAATAATATTTCTAGATAAATAGATTTTATAATAAATAACTAAAATAGATTTAAAAATGTTAAGTAAATTTAAACAGTTCACAAATTTAATTATATAAATCATTATTTACAAATAACTGATATATTAAAGTTTTATGAATAAAAGGGACTTTAAGATCTTCTTAATCTATTGGAAAATTCTCATTTCCCATTTGTTCCTAAAATTTATTTTGAATTGGTCTGCTATTGCTATCACTCTATGAGGAAAATTTTTTAAAAATATTGATTCGACCTGAATCTGACTGAGCCGCCTATGAAGCCCATTCTTCGTAGGGACTCTCAAGCCGACATCGAGCCAATTCTAAAAACGACTCAACGAGTCGACTCATCGAGCTAACTAACTCATAGTTCATCGAACCGCTCAATTTGGAATAAAATTTACGACCTAAAACTTGAATATAATATAGGATTAGTCGGCTTGGCTTAACCGATTAACACCACTATTATTTAAAACATTTTAAGCGGTTTCAACTATATCAAAATTATATTATTCTGATTATGGGCCTTTCTCTCTAGTACTATTTTAAACTAGTTAACTAAAATACGAATCAAATAACTTTCTATAAGAATTTTTTTGAAATATTTTTGACAAAAAACATGGATTATTAATTTTTTAAAAATATAAAAAGTTCTACAAAATATATGTCAAATGCTTACAAATAATTTTGAATCATACGAATGTATTAGAGAAATATAGAATGATGTTTATTAATCGATAAATTATTTTTCTTTTGTCATATTTTATTCGAATAATAATTTAATAGTATAGTTAGTTGTTACTCTTAAAATTTAAATAATATGCTTTAAGCATCTAGGCAGTAGGTTTTCAGTTTATTTTACTATTGGAGAAAACTACTTGTCCAAAATCAATTTGGTTATAGTATAAATAAAAAGGGTTTAACTGTGGTTTATATTCAGTAGCAGTGGCGTAGCTAGGTGGGTGGTTTTCGGGTTTGGACCCCTCCCAGAGCAAAATTTTTTTAGATTATATGTTCAAAAGTCTTAAAAGTGATTTTATATGAATTATATTTTTCTGGTTTTGATGTTTGTGGAAGGATATTATATTACTATTGAAATTATTCTGGATAGTATTATTATAAAGTCATTGAGAATAATATACTAAATTATAATAACATAATTATTGATGCATTTAAAAAATATATTTATTATATATTATCGAAGATATGGTTATGATTGTTAGATAAACCCGGCCGAAGGCCGGGCAAAAGGGGGTCTGGGGGCGAAGCCATCCAGATTTAATATCTATGGACCCCCTCTAAGGAAAATTCCTAGCTACGTCACTGTTCAGTAGATTCGGAGTCTCAGCCGGGATTCTTCTCTCTGAGCTTAAATATCTATTTGCTAAATTACCATTTTTTTTTTGAAATTATAACTATAACCGAAAGGGGCAATTTTGAAAAAAATATTGAAAAATTTATAAAAAGGAATGCAAAAAGGAGAACTTTTATCAAAGATATTTATAAACTGTTTACTTTTTGCATAGATAAAATATTTCTTTCATTGTAAAACAAATAATTAGATTACACCAATATTTGAGATCACATTTAAAATGAAGTTACGCGAAAATGTTTAATATAAATGATTATAGACTTCTTTTATTATATGCATAGTGGCTCATCTTAGATAAAAGATTTATCGAAAGATATTATTAGAAACCTATTATTACAAATTTTTGTTAACTTGTTCTCTTATTACACTGATTATTTGTCAATTTTAAATAGACACAACACACGAATCATAATATTGAATATAAATGTATGTGCAAAAATAGAAATCTTCTTAAAATTATTAAATAAACTCTGAAATATATTGATCAAATTGTGGAGCGCAGCATTTTTGACTGAACTATAATTTCTAAGAAAAACATTAAATAGTAGAAACATTATTGTAATTATAAGTTTAACACTATTTTCTTTATGTAACTTCTATCCAATTTTAAATAATTTCAAAAATGAGTTGGGGTGGACCCAAAACTGTATTATATCAAGGTCAAAATTATAAGTCAATTAAAAGGAAATATCAAAAACGTAAAATTCTATTCGAGGATCCTGAATTTCAGGCTGTTGAAAGCTCAGTTTACTATTCATCAAAAGGTAAATTAACTGGAATAGCATGGATAAGACCACAGGTATTTTAAATTATTTTCATTTTATTTTTAATTTACAAATTAGGAATTAGTTGAAGATCCCCATTTATTTGTAAATGGAGCCAATAGCAGTGATATCACACAGGGTAGGGTTGGTAATTGTTGGTTTGTTGCAGCTCTCTCAAGTTTAGCTCAAGAAAAATCATTATGGAAGCAAGTTTTATATATATATTTTTATTTAATAGATATATTTTTAATTATTTCTATAAAAATTTATTTTGAAATATGGTTTAATTGTGTTATTTATTTACATTACAAATTTTATACTAAATTATAATTATAAATTAAAAAACTTTAAACGTAAGATTAAAATTTTGGCATTTATTTTTTTGAAAAATTTTTAAAAAAATTATCCTTGCTAAAGTTTAAAAATTATTTGCGATTATCCTAGATTCATAATTTTTAAGTTTAGGAAATGACAGGTCTGGACTTACAATAAAATGATGTGGTATTTAAAATTTATAATTTTTTTTATAAAAAAAATGTTTTATTATAAGTATCTTTTGTGATTTTTATGTGTATCTAAATAAATTATATACATTCTATTCATTTTAATTAGGTGGTTCATTTAACCCCACTCTAAAGTAAAAAATTCTTTCTAAAAAATAATTAAGTTCTATCTGATTTTTATAAAATTTTATGCATGGCACTAAGACAAATCTATATTATATATATATATAAATTGGAATTTTGCTTGAATAGGGATAATGACAAAAACATTGATCATTAAAATAAATTGCTTATATAGTTAATTTTTATATTATTTAAAAGGTATTTTTATGATATTTTTTTATATAATAGTAAAAAATCAAAACATACTATTTTATGAAAAATTTTAAATTTAACAAAAAAATTATGAAGCTGGATGGTTTGAAGACTTTTTTGGGGAAATTTACAGTTTTTAAATATTTTCTTACCAATACAAAATAAAAATATTGAATAAATATGTTTTATTTTAAAAAAATATTTTCTTGAAGAATAGAGATTTTTGATAATTTTTACATAAAAATGCCAAAATCTTTTTAAAAAATCTTTTGTATTTTTATGCACAAAATATTTTTCAAAAAAGAAATCAAAAAATTTTTTTTCAAACTGATAATAACATTTTAAATAATTATTAGAATCAGTGATGTTTGCTAAAAAAAAATCTCAACTTGATATGGCATATTTTCAAATATATATTTTTTTAAATATTAGCCAAAATAAAGTGGTAATAACTTAAATGAGCCAAAAAAAAATTTGGATTTTTTTAATTTTTAAAAAAATATTAATAATTACCCTGCCCAGATAACTGTTCAGTAATGGATATAAATATGGTTTTATAATCTGACATATAATAATACCTAGACTGACAATGCATTCATTAAAAGTGTACATCAATAAAAACAGCTGGGGACGCCATGTTGATTATCCAGATCATTATTAAAAATTTTAAACGATAGACTAATTTATTTCTATGTGTGACGCAAACTTTATTAAAGAATTGCCTGATCATCGAGATAATAAGGAAGCAAGTTATCAATTTAGTTTTTAACATGAAAATAATTACTATTATGACTTATCAAAATGGCGGGTTCAGCTGATTTGCATTCAACAATGCATTCAAATGCATTATTATGAATGCGTCATCATTATAGGTATTATAATATGTCATTGGGTTTTATATATATAAAAAAAATCTCAGTCTTTTAAATTTAGTCGTAATCATTCTTCCTTGCGTATCTCGACGAATATTTTTTTTTTCTTTAATGAACACAGAAAAACATGTCTGCTTAGAGCGTATTTTTTTTTATGGTTAAATTATTTTGGTTCAACCAAACCCTTGGCTAGTGATATCCCCTTTAGAACATTTGCTAAACAACGACCAATTTTATGAAGACACCCTAAACGATGGCCAAATATTATTAAAATTGCAATATGACACATTTATAAAATATTTAAACCCCTTTGGCGGGATGAATCATTACTCTAAACCCCCCCCCCCTTATGTCATATTATTTATTTATTTTTTATAAAAAAATTATTTACTCAAAATACGAAAATTTATATTTAGTATAGTTTGAATAAAGTTTAAAAAAATATTATGTTTTTATCTCTCAATTTTCGATGATTCATTCAGGCCAGGTTCATAGTGGTATCCAATCTGACATGATTCAACAGCTGATGGATTTTTAAAATCTGTTTATGCGATCAATTTTTCTTAATATCAATTTTATCTTTAATTCCATTCATGAGTGTAAAGAAAATTGATTTCACAGATTTTAAAAATCGACTAGTTGTTAAACCTTGACAGATCGGATCTCCCTATGAATGCAGCCTCGAGGGGTGGTGGGGGGGGGGGGTGTAATGAGTAATGGATATGTTTTACGTTTTTAATCTTTAAACATTGGTTAGCGAGCTTTAATTTAGCTACTATCCACACAGGCTTAAAATGGAGTTATCAGTGCCTAACTTTTAGGTTTTATAAATATGCGCAAACTTTACAACAATACCACCACCCCCTCCCTCGAGATGTATGAGTAAGAATAGGGAGAATTTTAGGCACTCATAATGCCTGATTTAGGTTTTAACACATATTAATACAATTAAGTAAGGTAAGGATAGTTAAGGAACAATGAGGAAGACTTAAATTTTGTTATTCTATGCCCCCTTAAATACAAAACTTCTTAGTTCTTAAAAGAGGGGGAAGAAATGATACTTTCCAGAGCGCGAGATTAGGGGATAAATTTTTTTGCAAGGAGGAAAAAAAAATGGTTTATTAAATTGCATGGCAGGAAAAAAGTGTCATTCTTTTAAAACTCCTTAAATTTAAATGTGCTTATTTATAATCATTTCCTTCCGTTTTATTTAAATGAATAAATAATATGTCTTGGTTTTAATAACCAATAATATTTTATATACTTAAATTAAATCTTTTTTTTAGAAAAAAAGAAAGAAAGAAGTAAATTAAAATAGTTTTATCTTATCTTAAAGTGTAAAAATTAAATACATTTCGAAATTGTGGTCTATTAAAACTCGCCAGAATTTACGTCATTTTTTTTATCACAGGAGCATTGTAGAGTTTAAATATAAAATGTGGTTGGTTTTATTTTCGGTTCTGGCTCAGAAAAAATTCGGTTTTTTTAGATTCGACGCGTATCTCATTCCTGTATAACTTGTGAAGTTAATTGTCGTGATTGAAAAGCTTTGAAATTTTTGTTTTTAAAACATAGATTTAAAATCACTAAATATAGTATTGCAATTTTAATATTAATAATTTTTAAAAATTTTATCTGTAAATTGAATCTCATCAAACGCATTTTAACAATAATTTTGAAAGTTATGTGCAGCATTAGCCACAATGTTGCCGTATTTTAAATATGAAAAAAAAATTTGGTGCGGTAAAAAAAAAGTTTTAAATTTTACGAATAATCTTATAATTGAATTCATTTAAGGAACCATTTTACTAATCACACGGTCTCGCCAAACCAAACCAATCATGAGATTTAAATTACGTTCACGTGTCACTCCATTTCCGGTTAATACTAATGATGATTTTTTTTTCTTATCAAACACTTTTAATTCCTCTAAATAAGAATGAATGGCTAAAACATTTTAAAATAATATATTATACCTATACACTTCTATTAGAATCGAGTACGGTTCATGAAAATTTTTGAAATAATTATGGGGTTTTAGATTTGCAGTGTTCTGGGTAGGGTTGTTAAAAAGCCCGGCCACCCGATTGTTTTCGCCCAAAATAATATTACGTAAACCTAGAAATTTTGCTTATTAGATAGCAGAAAGGCTTGGATAACCTCTATTTGTCAAATCTCGATGCTTCTATGATATTATTTTGGCTAAAATGGCTTTTAGCAATCCTAGTTCTGGGGTTAGAACTTTTCGAAGGTGTCCATATTGAATTTAATTTAACTTGATTTTATAACAAAAATATATGGCTAGTTTTAATAGGGCGCCATAAAACGAGTTTATATATTTAAATTATGCTTTTCCTTGTGCGAATAAATGGGGGGGGGGGGGGGGGGAATAATTTTTAAGTTAAATGAACAGCAACTATAATCCAGATTTTTTTTTCGAGATATGGACGAGGGCGTGAACTATATTGTAGGATAGAGTTAATGTTGATAAACAGCTTGATTTTAGCCGATTTTTTTAAAAAATGGGCGAACTCTATATTTTATCCAGAAAAAATATTATGGCGAGCTTGAAAATTTCGCGCTAAAATGGCCCAAAGGTTTGGTACATCTATTAGCGAAATCTCCAGGCTTAAGCCATTACTACTTTTTTGGCTAAATGCTGTAATAAACTTTAGATGAGAACCATTCCATTCATATTTTAGTAGGCGCCATTTTGAATTTACTTCATGACATCCATCTTGGGTTTTAATTATCGATATCGATTAATTTATATATATTTGGCTCCACTCAAATCCACCTGTTTCAATTTACATTTTATAATCGAATTTATACCCTTGAGATGTTTAGTTCATGTATTAATTTTTTTTCACATCCAAAAATTGAGTTTAATTCAGCTTTCAATAATTTCAAAATTTAAAAAAATTTTTTTTTTAACTAGTTGAGGTTAAAGTCCAAAACTAAGGTAGGACCGAATTCCGTTTTATGACATCGGACTTTTGATCCCTCGCTCCCCCCAACTAAGAATCTGGAATTCATCTTTAAATTCAAAAAATAAAAATAAATCTGACCGTATGGTCAAATTTTACAAGTTTTTTTGGGGGGAGGGGTGATTTCTGTAAGCATTTTTTAAAATTAAATTCATTTAGAGCTATAAAAAAAAAGATTATCGATTTTAATCATTAAAGATAATACACCTGTAATCATAAAGTAAGAAAGAAAGAATAAAAATATTTTAAATTTCAAATTAGAGAAAACATTTTAATTGATAATAATTTGTGATTTCATTGAATTTCATGTTGAAAGATTTTTTCTTTATGCATAAAATATTACGAAATAAATACTTATAGTGCGCAGGCGCACAAATTCAGTGTTTTAAAAAACGCAAATAATACATTTTAAACGCAATTGTTTAAATTGGACAAAAGTAAATTAAAAAAAACATAGCGAAAAACGCTGATTTGAAACGTTCAAATTTGTGCCCACTATTATACAAGTTTGATCAAAAAATCTTTCTTCTTTTAAAAAAAAAATTTTTGCTCAATTAAATTTTTTTAATATTTTTTTGTTTTTTATTCTCAAACTTTGTATTTCAAAATGGAAGAAAATTTTGTAATTAAAAGTTAATGTTTGCTATGTATTTATTTAATTAAGTGTATATCGTTGTATGCATGCGCATTTATTTTTCGGTCATAAATATTTCACGATCATTATGTTTTTTTAACGCATTTTAATAATTATGTCAAAAAATATGATAAATATGTTATCATCATTTTATTAAATCAACCTTGAAAAAAAAAATTTTTTTTATCCTGTCATTTTATTATTTTTTTTATATCTGAGTAATTTTTACTACGTTTAAAACTTAATAAATTTAGCGGAAAAAGACTTGTTTCGGGTTCGATTTAACGGCCCGATTAAGAATTACGACCAAAATATTATTGGAAAAACCTGGAAAGATTTTCTCATAGAGGTTTGGACACATCTGTTTGCCAAATCTCAAGGGTTACAAAATATTAGGACGTTTTTTTTAAAAAATTCGACGATGGGTTATTTAACAACAACACTTTAAACCAATAGTTGCACCTCAGCCGAGGAAATATTATAGGAAGCTAAGAAAACGACAATTTTTTATAAATATTTAAACACTTCCCAATATCTCTTTAGCATTTATGCTAACCTTACGAGAGGTTTGCTTCAGAAAAATAATTGATCCGGCACGGGATCGGACACGGGTATTGTTGGACCTTAGTATCTTCTGAGCCCCTGGCTGTCATAAAAATTTATGATTTATTTTGTCTGTATAAAGATAATCCACCCTCGTGGCTACTCATAATTTAATAATCTATCTACCAGATGAAATATTGTAAAAAGAAAAGTAAACAAGCCTATTCCGTAAATATTAAATGTTCTCCTTTTGTTAAACGAGCCAATCATATTTTGGGACGTAAAATATAATATATTATATAACCAATGTTATAAGATGTAGGTTTATTGGGATTTAAAAAAAATTAATATAGCGCGCCATTTTTAAATTTCTGAAGTAATTGCTGCCTGATGGCGCCTAAATTATTTTTTTTATCATGTGTGTATATATAAAGTACCTTACCATATGTCATTAATATTTCCAGATTGATTGTCATATTCAGAAAAAAATTGTTTAGCGCGTTAGCTGATTATTAAACTAATTTATTTGATTGTTAGGCTTAAACTCCCTAGGTATCAAAGATTAAGCGGAAGTTACCCCTCTCCCCCCTTCCCCGAAAATATGGAAGTAATGCATTTTAATTCCAAATTTAATCCAGAGATGATGCACCTCTATCTTTTTAACCGATGCTCAATACCTATTTCAAAATAATATGGTGATCAGCTGATTTTGTTGTAATCTTCTAATGGGATTCACCTGTCTGTCATTATATACCTTTAGGAATATCATTTTTGATTTATGTTAACTATTTTCTCTTTTTACACGTCATTTAACATTATTTCTATCCTTTATAACTATCATCGCCATTTTTTTTATTAGATCGTTCCAGATCATAAAGAACAAGATTGGGATCTTAAAAAGCCGGAGAAGTACGTTGGAATATTCCATTTCCGGTTTTGGAGGTTCGGGGAGTGGATAGACATAGTCATAGACGATAGACTTCCGACCATCAACGGGGAACTCGTGTTTACGCGTTCTCGAATTAAAAACGAATTTTGGGTCTCCCTGTTGGAGAAGGCCTACGCTAAGTAATATATAATTTAACGCTTTCCCTTATAGGTGATTTTAAAAAAAATCGAAAAAGATAACGGATTTAACCCCCAGAAATGTATTCAAACATATATAAAATGCGATTGAGCCATTTAAGAGCAAAAATTTTTTTATGGCTATCGCTCACCATTCCGCTCTACCATTTTTTTAAAAAATAAAAACTTTTCTTGTGGCCATAATTTTGTTTTTAATGTTGGGCCTGGCGCAAAATTTTTAAGGAATTACCGCCAATTTTCAAAACCCACTTTTAAATTCCTATTTTGATCCCACTCCCGTAAGCCTGGCGCAAAATCAAGAATTACCGTCAATTTTCAAAAAATCTCACTTTTAAATTCCTATTTTGATCCCACCCCCGTAAGTCTGTCGCAAAATCTTAAAGAATTACCGCCAATTTTTTAAAAAATTCCATTTTTAAATTCCTATTTTAATCATCCCACTCCCCGTAAGCCTAGAAATAAATTGTCATGAAATATAATACAATAATAATAATATAATTAATAAATACCATGCCAAACCTTGATGTTAAAATTTAAGAGAGAGAGAAAAAAATTTGATTAGTTCATTTATCGAAAGTCAATTGTTTTTCAAATTATAAATGTATATATTTTTTTTTTATTGATTTTTTTTTTAAATAAAAAATAATATATACAAATTTCTATTTATTTTAAAAAATTGAATTTTACAACTTTAAAAATTAATTAGTTTTTTCTTCTTCTTTGAATAAACGACCCCGGGGTAAATATGGGCTTATATTTAAATAAATATTTTAAAAAAAAATTAATAATAAATAAATACGAGTTTTCTCTCTCTAACAAAGGTTATATAACAATTTCATAATAATTAAGATAATGTACTACAATGATTTTCCAATTTAAGATTCAATAAAATGAAAGTTCGATCATAGAAAAGGAATGGTTTTTATCAAACGAGGTTTTAGATAAAGAAAATGAAAGTCCTTGTCTGAAACTCGGCCCGGCGAGCTCGGGCCGAAACGGTTCGGCTAAAAAAATGTAACGAAATATTTCGCCATCTTTTAATTAAAAATAAAATGATAATTTTAATTATTTTTTTTCTCCGGTAAAGTTTCAAAATTATTCTTGGTTCAATGCTACCCCAAAGCTGTTTTATTTTTCGTAAAAAAAAATAATGTAACGAGATATAACTAAACTACCCAGAGTTCAGGGTTTTGTAAATTAATTTTATAACATTTTTGATACAAAAAAAGGCTGAACGGATGTTACGAGGCCCTGGACGGCGGCAATCTTTCCGACGCCTTGGTGGATTTCACTGGCGGGATTTGCGAGAATGTCGAATTAAAGCTCAATCCTCCCGACGGATCATTGCCCAACGGAACCAACGTGGCATCTACGGTTGAAACCTCGGGCGTGTATTATTGTTCCGAACCGGAAGTCCGGAAAAAGCTGTTCGATACGTTGTTGCGGGAGGTGGCTAGGCGGTCCTTGATGTGCGCGGCCATAGATGTAAGAAGATATTTGGGATGAAATGAAAAATAAAAAAGAAAGCTGTTAAATATTTATTTATGGCGATGAGTCGGATAATGGGCCGAGATTTTAAATTAGAAAGCGGGTAAAGAAGATACAGGGAGAGCGAAGGTGTTAAAAGGTGATTGGCAGGTAATGTTTCCAATCGCGTCACTCATCATAATAATGCCGTCGCGCCATTTATAAAATATCCCATTCGCAAAGACAATGACAATTATCAAAATAAACATTTTTTTTTACATTTTAATTCCCAAAAGGTTAAAGACGAATCGGAAAGGGAAACGAAAACTCCCACTGGATTGATAAAAGGCCACGCCTACGGTAAATTTTAACGTCACTTTGTTAAAATTTAAAAAACAAGGATTTTAATATTTTTTCCTTCTTTCTTTCTTTCTTTCTTTCTTTCTTTCTTTCTTTCTTTCTTTCTTTCTTTCTTTCTTTCTTTCTTTCTTTCTTTCTTTCTTTCTTTCTTTCTTTCTTTCTTTCTTTCTTTCTATCTTTTACCTGTTAAACAGGTTAACTTCATTAGCCCTAATTATTAACCTTATTGTGACAATTCCTAATTAATATTTTTTGGTAAAGAATGTTACCACAATTGCCGATTTAATTTAATTTTTTTATTTAACCCACCCTCGTTATTAGTATACATGCTCCCTAAGGTTATTCTACTTAGACTTTTAGTCGTGGTAAGAACTCGGACTAATTAACAACACCATAATTCTACACTATAGGCTTTGAAGATGATCTTTTTAATATAAAAAATTATGGATTGCATAAACAGCCCAGTGTTGTTGAATCATCTAACAGTATACTACTATTAAATTACCTATCCTTTTAGCCCAACTTTAAAACGGCTTTGCCAAAATTTTATCCTGGCAAAAATCGTCTCGGTCTCTTAAATTGAAATATATTTTTTAAGGATAAATGCGCGTCTAAGCCTATTAAAAGTTGGTCAAAATTCGGCGAATCATAAAGGAGGTTACCCCTCAATCCTCAAATAAATATTTTTTTTAAAAAAAAAGGTATAACAGCTGTCAAGAAGCTTTACTCCAAAGACGCCCCACTCTTAGACATTTCACGCCTATTAAGGACCAACGAGCCCAGGGACAAATTTTACATGATTAGGCTCAAAAATCCCTGGGGTGGAAAAAATGAATGGACAGGCCCCTTCGGTGACGGGTTGAAATAACAATTTATTTTTTATAGAGAAAAGATATAAGGAAAAATAAAAATACTATTTAATCAATCTTGAATTATTTTTATTTATTATTTTTAAATTATCATTTCAAGGTCCCCCGAATGGGAAAAAATAACTATAGTTCAAAGGGAAAAGTTGGGGCTAACTTTTGACGATGACGGGGAATTTTGGTAACATTCATTCATACTTTCATTAATTTTCTTAACGCTTCTGTACATGACTTTGCTTTCTTACACACCGATTAATTACTAGGCTTGGATAGGTTTGCATATAAAATAGAGAATATTTTTTTCAAATTTTATGCGGTACAGTTGATAAACCTTTTTTAAAAAATTGATGATTTTTAAGAATCTTTAATTATTTTTAATAAATGTTTTTATATATATTTTCAAATCAGGATGGCTTTCGACGATTTCTGCCAAAATTTTACCCACCTATCCATATGCTACGTGTTAAACACTGCTTACATGACGCTCCAAAAAACTTGGCACGAATCAGTGCTCTGGAGCAAATGGATAAACGGACCAGTGGGCTCTAAGACTGATAGGGCCGGGGGTTGCGTCAATTTTGATACGTTCCTACAAAATCCGCAAGTAATCTTGATAGAAAGGAATGGACTGAGAGGAGATTAAAGAATGCAGTGCGGAAAAAAAATATAAGGAATAAGAAAGGAATTAAATTATATTTTTTTTTGGGGGAAGGGGATACAAAGGAATGAATAGATAAAATGAATATTTGCGCTTGCGCACAATGAAATTAGCTCCTAATTCAAAAAGGTTAAGCCTTGTAAATTTTAATAAAACTATTTTTATATATTTATGATAGTGTCTTTTAACTCTTTACGAATCGCCACTCGAAAAGGAGGAAATCTTATTTTATCTCACGCAAAAGGATAGGCGGGAAGTCAAGTTGTACGAAAAGTCTCAGAATTTGATCATCGGATTTTCCTTATTTAAGGTATTTACTATATATATATTATATAAATGGAGGATAGTGAGATAAAAACGATATTATTTTCCTATTCGTAAGAAAAATGTGATGAAGGACATTTTTCTTATAACAAACGTGTAGATAACATCTTTACCTCAAAAATTTTTTTAGTTGTTCATATATGGTGTAGTGAATGTCAGACTTTAAGTCCCGACAAAAGTTTTTAGGGCTTTACCTCACATCTATCTTTTTAAACCCCCCCCCCCCCACCATAATTATTTGCTATTAAATTATAGGTTTTTAAAAAAAAAAAAATTGATAATCTAATACACTGTATAATTAATAAAACATAATATGTACGTACCAAATAATAAGAAGATTCTCATTTCAATATATATTAATGTTCGTTTTCATATTCTTAAAGGCTAAACTATTTTTTTTTAAATCCAAAATTATGAGAGGCTAAATTTATTTTTTAAAAAAAGGCCGAACAAAATCGAATTTACAGAGTACACGATATCAGATTTACGGAAAAGGCGGGGCAAAGTGATTACGTCAATTCTAGATCCGTTTTCTTGAGGGCGTTCCTGCCCTCCCCGGGGACCTACTTAGTGCTCCCGACCACTTTCAAGCCCCACGAAGAAGGCGATTTCTTGTTTCGCGTGTATTCCAGTTATCGATGCAATTTTAGGTTTTTCTTCTTTTTTTAAAAAATAAAATTGGCTCAAAGCAGAACCTCTTAAACTTTACAGAAACCGTTACCGTAATTACTTTTAAAATATTTTTCGGGGATCGAAGCATGTCCCGAAAAAAAAATATCTAGAACCGGAGCCATTTTTAGTCCGGATTATGCCATATAGGCGAGAACGAAATATTATTCTTCTTTGTTTCTAACATAAATACTAATTGAAATTTGACTTTTTTCTAGCCTGGTTTCTTTGAACATTTATATCCATGCTTTGGATGGGGGATCGATCAAAATGGAGATAGTTAGAATTGTGCTTTGCCCTAATATTTTCTTAAGTTTGAAACAAAGAATTTCATTTTTTTTAACAACGTTACTTTTCTTACTACGAGAAAAGAAAGAAAGAATGAAATGGTCCATTTAAAATAGTCGCTTATTGTTTTGTTCGGTATATAAACTTTGAAATGACAATCATATATAAAAAATTTTAAGAGGACAATTATTCTTTTAAAATACCAATTTTCTCAGTGGAGTGTAACTGATTTACCCCGCAGGCACCGTGAGGTAATCAGGCGCATACATTACATCATTATATTATATTTATTTTATTTTTACCAATAACATTCGAGTATAACATAAGTGGATAGGTGCATTCTTTCTACGAATGTTGTTAAACGGCTTTATTTGAGCCGATTTTTTTAAAACGGCTAACTAAATATTTTTAGCCAGAAAAATATTAGACGTTCGAATCTTTGTGCAAAATTTTAAGGCTTTGCATAATATTTTACTGAATTTAAGAATCGGCTCATAACAAGCCGCTTAACAACACTTACTTTTTACAACCCATCGAAATATATTTTAGGCAAAATTATAACTCGTTTTAGAAGTTTTATTAATTTAATCGTTTCCCAAATGTGGTACAGCATGGGTAGAATACCTATTCTTAGAAATTTCGCAGGATATTATACATATTGGCCCTAAGCATAATCGAATTCACGTAACTGTACCTTACAAAAAAATACGTATCAAATAATTCGCACTAATAATTAACACTTCATTCGATTTGATTCGTCGAATATTCCATTCGAGAATTAAAATGATTTTACGAAGTTTCTCAAGGGACATGTTTGAATACTCATAAATTTTTTTAATTTTTACGAATAATTCGATCCAATAATAAAGATTTTAAAATAAATTTATCCGACATGTGATACATTTTCCTTATTCGATTCAATTTAGCCATATTAATAACGAAGTAAGGTATAACTAACTTGTATGAAAATTTATATAAACAAACCTTAAAATTACACCAGAATGGCCAAACTGGATTATCCCAAACGTACCATTTTTTCCGGTTGCTACGGCTATCCCACGTGCGTTTATAGGCTCACTATCAAGCATGCGACCGCTATCGAAAAGCAGGACAAATTAGGTTTTTTTTACAAATATTGATTTCATTTCCTTCCACTAAGAAAAATTAACTACCAACCATAACCCTCCTATCGCATTTTTTTTAAAAAGGCGCGGATCCCTACGTCATGGTTTATTGCGAAAAATACAGTTACCGTACCCGCACCGTGAAAGACTCCCTGAGTCCTGTATGGAACGAAAGCTATATTTTCTACTGCAAAAAGCGAAATAGCCCTATTAGGATCGAGGTTTGATTTCAGAGTTTACTTTTTTTGAATTAATACCTCACTTATTTAGTGACACTTATATTTTATAAGGGAAAATAATAAATAAAATAATGATAACATTAGCCTTAAACTCGAATTTAGGATAAAGACTTTTTCTGAGAACACAGAATAAACAAGAACTCTTTTTATAAACAACGCATCGAATCCCAGTTATCGGACCGGGTGAGTTCGGATTTCTTTTCGAAAATCCGTCCCGATTGAGTGTCTGTTATCGAAATTTTCCGTTAGAGTTTAAAATCTTGAACCAATATTCGGTCTTCGAAGCCCTGCATTTTAATATATATATACAATTTTTAAATTATTATATCATAAAAAGGGTCCACATATTAGTTATAATTTGAGTGAATCCCCCCTCTCTCCACAGAACAATTATAATTCATAAAAATGGCAATAAATTATAAAAATATATACCATTTTTATAAATTAGGTTTGGAACTCGAACCTCATGAAGGATACCTTCATGGGACAAATTGAGGTAGAACCTAGGATAGACGATTCCGTTCAAAATTTAGAAATGAGTCTGTTAGGCAAAGGTAAAACTTCTTCCTCTGCAAAGCCGGGTACACTGAATATCGAAATCGCCGCTTCTGATAATGTCAAAAATTATTTATAAAATCTGTTAATTTTTTTTTACCCTTTCGAAAAGCATTTCAGAAATAAATAAATTTCTTAACTTATTTATAAGAATTTTTTTTTATACCCAAATATAAAAAAATCATGTCAAAAAGAAAATCTAAGTCAATTATTTCCGATACTATTAAATATTCATCTCGTTAAAAGCGTGCAATCATATCTAATATCTTATCCATATCGTCCCCCTGAGAATTAGAGTATTCCATCTCCACTTTTTGTAATTTTACGGGAGATCAATTTTAAAAATTAAGTTTCTATTGTTTTCAATAGAATATATAACCTTATATTAGCTATAATTTAACTTAATATTACTATTTTTTTTTGTGGAAATAGAATAGTTATAATTATAAAAAATTGATTTATGTAAAGTTACTTTTGACAAAATATGGATAGATAATATTCAGATATAATTAATGATAAGGATTTGATTCAATAGTATCATCGCCATTATTAAAATATTAATATTTATTGTGCAACTTAATCATGAAAGATTCACATTTACCAATTTTAAATCACTTTTAAATTATATGCATTATAGATCATTATATCAGTATAAATGCAATTTTTTTTTTTAAATTATACTCTAAGAGCTCATATAGAATAGTTACACCGTCCATATCATTCTCTCTTTTTGAAATGTATTTTTATAATATATATATTTAAAATTTTAATTCCTATTATATTAATGATATATAATATGTCCTTATTATACTACAAAAATGAATTAAAAAATATTTTTTTAATCATGTTTTTATTTAATATATTATGTATATTTGAATTCTAAAAACAATATACTACAAAAATGTATAATAAATATATTATTAGGTTATAGAAATTATTATAAATATATTAATTCGAATATTTATCTTATAAATTAGATATTTAAGTTTGGGGTTGTAATGCAGAATATCGTCATAATTTGAGAATTTACACGTTAAATCATACCCATAGTTTTTTATATAGAAATGTAGTGTTTACTCTATCATTGTCAACTTCCCGATGCCTGATTTAGCCAATGGGGCCCCCTGATCCCCCTTTATTTTTAATCGTTGTTTACGTTTAATCCTTATATCAAGCATTATAGTTGTATTTAGCTAATCCCTAACTTAAATAACAACGCTTGAATTTTATAAATCTTGCTGAAAAAATAAAGAAAATGCGACTTTTATTAATGACATAACTATTATTGTGATTACAAATTCCTTCGACTATATATCCGTGAATTTTATAATGAATGGTGATATGTAAAAATATTCGAACCTTTTACTTTGTTACCACTGTATTCATTTCTTTTTACATAAAGTAAATAAATTAACAAAAACAGGTTCATATATATATTTATATTATTTCAATTTATATATATATGTATTTGTTTTTCTTTCACTTAAACAAATATAACACTTTCCAAATCCAAAGTTATAGTACTTATAAAGCTTAAGCCAATACAATATTTAATGCATAATTATTACTATATAATGAATAATATAAAAAATGGAATAGAATAAAATGAGATTGTATTGAATATGTTACGGAGGAATTCACAATATGAAATTATAGTCTTGAAGATTAAATTTGGAACGATTTTTATTCAAGTAATTTACAATATATTTTTTATGTATCAAAAAAAGAAAACAAAACAAGTATATATCATAAAAGAAAAACAAGTGATATCTGAATGAAAATATATCTCAATATATATATATTTAATTGCCTTGAGATATACAAATAAATTTCACTTAACTTTAAATATAGAATTGAATTATTTAACTTTAAATATAGAATTGAATTATTTAACTTTAAATATACAATTGAATTATTTAAGTTTAAATATACAATTGAATTACTTAAGTATTTAAATATACAATGGCGCATATGCACACTATACATTTTGATATAGTGCTATCCGTTTAGTATAAAGTTATGAGCTAAATAAGAAAACTTCTATAATTGACGTCAAAATTTAAGATAGAACTAAAAAATATTGAAGCAATGACGGTTTTTATAAAATACTGTCTCGTGTACCACTATTGGGGCTATAACGGCCGTGAGGAGTGGATGCTTTATTAGAGTATACCCTAGAGGTTAGATTTAAAAAAAACTACCCGTCCGCTCAAAGTTTTTACAAAAATTATTTATTCCTCCTCCCATTGGTTTAAAAAAAATAATTAACACACGCCCACCTATATAAAATTTAAAATATAATATACCCGTATAATATTTTATTATTAGGGAAAATTGTATTCAATCAAAAAAAATGTAAATAAGAATTTGTGTTCACGACTCGTGTGGTAGTCTAAAAATAAAAATATGCAATATTGAAAAAGAACAGAATAAATATTGTTAATACTAATCTGAAATGCTCGTCTTCTAATCGATTCAAGTCACTACTCAAGTTTATAACTCGTATTCACAACTCAAGTTTATAGTATAAACGCAATATTAATTTAAAATACTCGTCCTCCGACTAAAGTTCCGACTCGAGTTATGAACTTGTGTTTACAAGATAGTTCATAACTCAAGTTAGTTTTGAGACCTGACTCCAGTTTTTGACTAAGTTCATTTCAACCAGTCCATTTACAACAATATTTTTATCTATTAAAAAATTCCTGATGAATAAGTCCGTTGCGTTAATCAACTTTAGATCTATATTTTAAATTGAAAAGAATCTGAGGGTCTTATTTTTTTTTGAATGAACTGAGCCAAAAACAATCTTCAATTCAGTATTGTAATGTTGACTTAAGAAAGTACATCGAATTTTTAGAATATCGTCGCGAGAATTAAATGATTATATATCCACTTTTTGTCATAAATGACTTTTTTTACATGAATATTTTTTATAAATATTCTATTATATTTACAACAGAAAAATTCAAAATAAGTTAATTTATACTCAATAATTTAGTTAAATACCCTATTGGAAACAATTGAAACTTTATTTTTAAAATTGCTCTCCTGTAAAATTAATAAAAGTGGAGATGGAATATAATTCTCAGGTAGCGATATAATAGAATTTAATCAAACATTATCACGTAGATTGGGGATGTATTCTAATCAGTAGTTGTTAATATGACCGATTAATACTAACCTTTAAATTGTTTTTTTTTATGTTAATATAAATTGATTTTTTTTTATATATTGATAGATTGATTTTTTTTATATAAATTTTTATATATGTTATATAAAGCAGATTTTTTTTAGTTTAAAAGAAGAAGTATAATTTTAAAATATATATTGTATAAAATTAAATAATTTATTTAAATAAACGATTTTTTATATAAACTAATCTTCTAAAATACTTTATGGATTACATCTAATATCCCAAAAAAATATTTTATTCTCAACAATTTTATTCTCTCCTTCATTAAGAATTCTTTTTTTATATGTTCAATTTTAATTTTGTCATCCTTTCTCCTATAATAAATTATACGGAAGGCAATTATTATTTAAGAGAATTTTTTATATATTTTAAGACATTTGTTTCGATAAATTTACAACTTGAAAACGAGTAACGTATTTTATTCAATATTTATTTTATTACATAATATTACAACTAACTCAAATAATTAACAAAAAACACGACTATATAAATCTATAAAAACAAATTAAACTTTAACAACCTAAAGTCATAATCACAATATACTTTAAAGTTAATGTTCAAATTTTATAACCTTTTATCTTTAATATCCCACAGTGATAATTTATACAATTTTAATAGTTACAATTTCAAAGTTAATTTAAATTTAGATAATTTTTCTAATACAACATTTCCCTCTCTTTTAGTTTCCCCTTTCATTGTATCTATCGATCATATCGTATGTTGAAGTTGTCACTAAGATTTTTATCCGTTTACGTCCATGTATCTTTCAGTGTTCATTACCCAGATTTAACTTAAAAAAAAATTTCATTTTATTTATATATATATTTGATAAATCTTTTTCGGTCTCAGATAATATTTCCGATTTTGTTCCTTTTATTTTGAACTTGACCTCGAACTTGACTTTAATCTTGAACTTGATTTTGATTTCGAACTTGATTTTGATTTCGAACTTGATTTTGATTTCGATTTTATTTGACTTCTTCCCCCTCTAAAACTCGTTCGTCCGTTGTACGATTAGTTTGTCATTTTCGCTATTTTTTTATTGTTGCATAAGTAATTGTTGATTTCATCTTTTATCGTTGTCTTGCTTTTGTCACGTTTTATCGTTGGCTTGTTTTCATTACGTTGGTTTGTTATGATCGTTTCGTCTCTTTGTTGTTTGCTCGTTTGCCCTCCATCGTTATTATTATCATTATTATTAGTCAATCAAGAATAATTAGGAATAATAAGAATCCAATCGAATATAAGAATTATCGTAAAATGTTGATAATAGAATCGCGTTTTAGTATTGTTTAAATTTTTTATATTATAGTATTAATTTACAATAAATTTTGATCCATGAAGTAATTAAAATTTTATATTACGTACTTTTTTTATTCTTTTTATTTTAATTTGAATTTAACCTTTATTCTTTAGTTTAAAAAATTTTTTTATAAAAATTTTCTTAAAATCAAATTTCAAACTTTTAAAAATAAATTTTATTCTCAACAATTTTATTCTCTCCTTCATTAAGAATTCTTTTATATGTTCAATTTTAATTTTGTCATCCTTTCTCCTAACACTACTCCTATTTCTTTTAACATTATTCCTACTTTTACACGTAATATTTTTCACTTTTTTTAAATTTTTGCATTTCCTAGAATCTTTATCAATATTAATTAAATTATTTATATTATTACATTTTTTCTCTTTTATTATTATTTCTTCAAATTTTACTATGTGATTAATATAACTATATATAAACGTTTCTACTATATCATTTTTTAATATTATTACCGACGTAATTTCAAAATTTTTAGTATTAATTTCCAACTTTTCTACAATTTTTGTTTTATAAATGTCTACTTTTTCTGCGTTAATTCTATAAAATTGTCTCTTGTTAAACTCATTAGTCGTTTTCCACTCTTCATACGACTTACTATTAATATCACTACGAAATAAAGAACTATATACTATTTCTACATCAATTGGCTTATCCTTCACTATTGGTTTTTTTACTTCTATTTTTACATTGATTGGTTTTTTTACTTTTACTTCATTATTTTTTATACTATTGTATTTATAATTATTATCATTATTATATCGATACTTATTGTAATTGATATTATGATTTATTTCTATTGTTAAATCTCGCATAATTATTATATTCCTTCTTATTGTAATGTCTTTCGTAACAATTTTTACACTCATAATGATTATTATAATTATTCCTATAACTTTTGGTTTGCACTTTATCATTTAAATAATTATGATGTAATTTAGGTGTTTCTTTTATCTCATTTTCTGCCTTATAGCCAGATAAATATTTTAATATTGTCACAGTTTTCTCAAAAGTTGCATCTCTCCCTGTTGGTAACCTTATTGCTTCCATTAATACGTCCATCTCCAAATATAGACCTTCTGGAAGATTTTGAAGCAATACCTTAGTATACTAATTAAGTTTATTTGACTGGCAATCACTTCATGAAATATATTAATATGATTGATTTGTATCTATGACATTTATATCATTGATAATATATATATATGACATTTATAACATTGATAATATATAATATAAATCTCATTTATAACATATCCCCACACATATGATCTTACAATTCCTCAATAAGCCGATTTGTAGGTTTCCTGGCTCTTTGTGATTTCCGCGTTTCTAGTTTTACGTTATCTTCCACATTTTCTAAAATCTCAACTATATCCGACTCTTTATTTTTTATATTTTCCTCTTCTCTCTCTGACTCCATATTTTCTCCATTATCTTTCCCTGGCCCAGACTTCTCCATTTCTTTAGCTACCTCCCTTTTTCGAAGTTGATCCGCATGCTTTCGTACCATTCTATCCTTGCTTTCTACCAAATAAGAATATCTGCCAGTTCTGGATTTTATAATTCCTTCTCTCCAACCTGAATTTATTTCATTATGCACCCATACCGGTTGTGCAATCTCAAATTCTCTCATATGACTATGTTCATCATGCGCTACTTTTTGTCTTATATTCGATCGTTCCATTTCATAACTAACATTAGGACGTAACCAATTCAATCCCGTTTTTAAATTTCGCCCCAATAATAACTTAGCCGGTGAACGTCCAGTTGATTGATGCTCACCCATTCTATATGCTAGCAAAACTTCTCCCATGGCTTCCTCGGGCTCCCTGATGTCTTTCCTAGTTGCAAAATATCGACTCTTGAGGGTTCGTATCGTTCTTTCCGCTAAACCGTTCGTTTTTGGATGGTACGGTGTTGTATGTATCAATTTAATATTTTTCTCGAAACAAAATTTTCGAAATTTTCCAGAAATAAATTGAGGTCCATTATCTGATACGATTTGTCTAGGTGTTCCAAACCGTGCGAACCATTTCCTTAAAACCCTGATCATTGTCGTGGACGTGGTCTCTCTCATTAACTCAACCTCAGCCCATTTAGTATGTGCATCAACTCCAACTAACCATGAATACTAATCAATAGGCCCCGCGAAATCCAAATGAATTCGTTCCCATGGTATATTAGATATGTTCCACGAATATAAAGGAACCTCCATAATATTCGATCGATTACTTTGACAAGGCATACATTGACGAACATATTGTTCAATATCTTTATCGCAATTCGGCCACCAGCAATACATTCTAAAAATTGATTTCATAGCATTTATTCCTGGATGCCCTCTGTGTATAATCGTTAAAATTGATTTCCTCAAAATGGTTGGAATTACCAACCTCCCATTCCATTCAATAACATCATGATCTACTGACAATTCCTCTCTACGATTATAAAAATAAACTAACTCTGTATTTTTTTTCGCATAAAAATCCACCCATCCATGCTCAATGTTTTTAACTACTTTTTTAAACAAGCTATCATTCCTTGTTTCCTTTTGGAGTTCAACTTGACTAATATTTATATCGTGCAAATTTATAGTTCTAATTTTTAACGCGTTTTTTTGATCATTATTTGATTTTATGTCATCTATTGGCAGTCTAGATAATGTATCAGCTACTTTATTATCTTTTCCAGGAACATATTCAATATCAAAATCATATGCGGACATTTTCCAAGCCCAGCGCGTTAATCGACTATTGGATATTTTTGGTAGTTCCCGTTTATCACCAAATAATTTTTCCAAAGGTTTGTGATCTGTTCGTAATAAAAATTTTCGACCAAAAATGAATGTATGAAATTTTTCCATACCAAACAAAAGTGCTCGTGCCTCTTTTTCTATTGGTGCATAATTTTTCTCTGACTCTAGAAGTGTTCTCGAGGCAAATTCGATTGGTCTGCTAATATCTTTTTTCACTAAATGACATAACACAGCTCCAAAACCAGTGTTGGAAGCGTCACATTCCAATATAATTGGCAAGTTTGGCGAATATGGAATTAGCGTTTTATTTGTTGACAAAAGCTGTTTTATTTTATCAAATACCTCTTGTTCCTTGTCCGACCAACCCCAGCAAGATTTAATGCTTGTTAATTTATGCAGAGGAGCGGCAATTTCATGTAGATGTGGCAAAAATCTCTCGTGATAATTCACAAGTCCTAAAAAAGATCGTAATTGGTGTATATTATTAGGAGTTGGTATCCTTCGAATAGCATCTATTTTTTCTTTCGCTGGATGTATTCCATATTTGTCTATTACGAAACCCAAAAAAGAAACTGATTCATTTAAAAAACGTATTTTGGCCCATTTTGCCTTCATACCCACCTGTTTTAGTTTCATTAGTACTTTTTTTACGTTATTCAAATGTTCTACATCATTTTTCCCCGTTATGATAATATCGTCAAGATATACTCCAGTCATTTGGCAGTCTTGTAATAAATTGTCCATATATCTTTGAAATATGGTCGGCGCACTAGAAAGACCGAAAGGCATACATTGATATTGGAAATAACCAATGTGGGTCGATATGGTTAAGTATTTTTTTGAACTTTCTTTTATTGGTAATTGTAAATATGCATCTTTCAAATCTATTACCGTAAATTTCAATCCATCTTTTAATTTGGTTAAAAGATCATCCACCGTTGGTATAATATGATAATCGTACTATATGGGTTTAATGTCACCTTAAAATCCGCACAAATCCTGATTTCTCCATTTGTTTTTCGTACGTTTACCGTTGGAGTGGCCCATGTCAATCGTTTTTGTGTTGGATCAATCGCCTTCAATATTCCTGATTTAACCAATCTATCGAGTTCCATTTCAATTGGTTTTCGTAATGGAAAAGGTACTCTACGAGCTGGCCATGATTTCGGCCTTGCTGCCTCATTCAAATGTATGCTAACTTCTATATCATTCACCCGTCCAGGCTTGTCATCAAAAACACTAATAAATTCTGTTGTCATGCCAGCAATTTGTTTATTGGTTGTCATAACCTCTTTATTTGTGATACTACGTATAGTCACTTGTCGTGGAATAAACATATTAAATGCCAGTATACATGGTAGTCCAAATAATGGAATGTCATTTGAACCGGTCACCACAATCGGTAGTGATCTGCTTATCTTTCCAAGACGAACCCTCACCATAGTTTCACCCAGCACATCTAGCGGTTGGTTACCATATACTGATAAAGGTTTGGTTGGTCCAAGTTTGGGTCAGCCAATTTCATCCCAATATTGTTTCCCAATCACCGATACCAGTGCCCCCGTATCATCAGTCAAATTCTATAAGTACTCCATTTATCCTAACAGATATCTTCGCACTATTTCTACCAATTTGGGATATATTATTAATTGAATCTGATGAATCATTGTCATCTATATGCATAGCATGTAACTTCTGTCCCTTACAATATTCAGCATAATGCCCTACCTTTTGGCAATTATAACATTTCACCCTTGATGCAAAACATTGAAAAGGGGGATGAGTTCTTCCACATTTTGAGCATTTATTAAACTTATACATATCATTATTGTTAAATTTATTGTTATCTCTAAACTTAAAATTATTATTATTGTAATAACTAAAATTACCCTTTTTTTGTTATTATTATTATATGAGTACTTTTAATTTGAAAAATTTCTTGATTATTCTCTATCTGCTCCTTAGGTTTATTGACTTTTTTTACCATCATATTTATCACTTCATTCTCAGCCCTTTCCATTGCCAAAGCCATATTTAAAACCTGTTGAAAACTCACCATTTCTCCTAAGTCATTTATTCCATCTGGAAATCTAGTGCGAATATCTTTCTCCAATGCACTCATTTTGATTCCAGCCACCATCTGATCCCTCAATCTCCCATCTAGGTCAGATTCAAATTTACATTCTTGAGCCAATTTTTTAAGTCGAGCTGCAAACTCCGCAACTGATTCACCAACCCCTCTTTCTATCCGAATAAATTTAATTCTCGAGCTAAATAATGTTGAAATAGGCTTAAAAACTTTCTTACCAACTTCAATAATCTCTTCATAATTAAGATCTTTCAATATTTTTGGATAAACAAAGGACCTCATCTCAGCTAAATTACTAATACCCATATACGCAAATAATATTTTTTTTTTGGTTTCATTATTTATTAATATACCTCTTATCTCCAACATATCATCAATATATTCAATGTAATCAGCAAAGTTGTTTTGATTATCGAAATTATCGAATTTGATCATAATGTTATCATTTTTTTCTTCTTTATTCATAATTACTTTATTTTTGTCTTCTTTATTCATAATAAATCATCGACAACGTCGCCAATATACTAATTAAGTTTATTTGACTGGCAATCACTTCATGAAATATATTAATATGATTGATTTGTATCTATGACATTTATATCATTGATAATATATATATATGACATTTATAACATTGATAATATATAATATAAATCTCATTTATAACACTTAGCACTATTTACAATCTTATATTTTAAAAAAAAATTCTCCAATTCATTTATATATTTATTTACATCATTATCATATTTTGGATAGTCCATTTTGATTAATTTTATTTTAATTTACTTTACTTTAAGTTTTTATATTTATACGTCATATTTATTTTATATCTTGTCTTTATTAAAATACAGTCACAAAGTAATTTAACATCTACGATGATTTAGCAGATAGTATTTTTACCACTCCAGTCACTTCTTTTATTTTAATTTTTAATTTTCAAGTTTACTCTCTTGAAGAAACCTCACTCATCGATTTAATTCTTGACTTTTCATTCGAATATAGCTTTATGTACCGCGTTTTTATTTTTAAATTAGCTACATTTTTTTATATATTATAGTAACATTTCTTTTGACATATCTTTATTAGTTATTATATTAGAATGGATGTCATCCCTTTATAACTATTTGACTTAATTGGGAAAAAGGATTATTTTAATTTTAAAATTTCTTTCTTTAGTTTTAAATGCTTGTTTTAGTTAATAAAATGAAAATAGTCAAATTATGTATCACGTCGGCTATCAGCTGCAACGCCTCAATTAGCACAATATCACTGTGAATGTATCTGAATACATTTACTCCAATGACATATTATATCTTTGATTTACTCTAATGATTAGATTTATTCAACTGAATCTCATTCTCATCCATCATTTTTATAAAAATGACTAGTATAAGAGTGTACAAATTTTTAAAATTATGTAATGGTATAAACAAGCATCAACAGCATTACAGAAATAGACATTATATTTCTAAAATTCTAAATGTTGATGATGCAAATCATTTTATGAATCAATTGAACCATGATGAAAGAAATTACATTAAAGAATATTTTGATCTTATAGAACAAACAAGTATGATGTAAAATATATAATTTAATGTTGTAAATGTAAAAATAAAAGAAAATGAGGAATGTTCCCCACCGACTTATAACCAACTTAGAATTGGTTAGTTATGACTATATATAAATATATATTTGACATTTCTAGTTTTCATATACAATGCTCTTCCTTTTGTTGGATTTGGCATTATTGATAATCTTATATTAATAACTGCTGTAAGTTATAAACTATGTATTAAAAAAGTAATTATTTTGTAGGGTGAATATATAGACATGAAGTTGGGAGCTATGCTAGGGATATCCACCATGGCAGGTATATTCAATATTTATGTTAATATCAAATCCCTTGAGTGGTTGAATTTTTAGGCCAAGCCTGTATTTCAAAAATATTTTTCCAAGCCTGATATAGGGTTAAGAAAATATTTTTTGCCTAGACTATTTTTTTTAATTTATTTTTAAGCATGGCTCTAATTTCTATTTCTATCCCCACCCCCCCCCCCTCTCCAGACTTAATTAAGGGCCTGCAAATATCCGATTTAAATAAGGAAAAAAAATATTTTCCGCATGTTAATAACATAGTTTTTTCCTATATTAATTTATTTGACTAGCTGCTGCCTTGGGAAATATTATATCAGATATAGTAGGAATTGGGTATAAAATTAACAAAAATTACATCAAATTTATTTTGAATTTTTTCTTATAGATTGGCTCATTATATCGAAATTTTAGCTGGTTCATTTGGTGTACCAACCCCAGATTTAAATTTTAAACAGCAAAATATGAAAAGTGCAAAGTTATTCAAGAACCTAGTAATATTTCTAAATTTAGATAATAATATTTTACTTTATTTGATATATTATCATTTTATAATTAAATCATAAGTAATAATGACAAATTTTGTGATGCATTTTATTTATAACTAAAGGGAAGAACTTTGGGCATTGCATTTGGTTGCTTTATAGGGATGTTTCCATTACTATTTTACCCTGACAAAAAGAAAGAAATTACAATCAGTACTACAAATGATTTAAAAGACAAATCCTATACTTAGAATAATCTTTATAAAATAACTCATTCTCAGGCATTTTGCTAACACATATAATTATATCTTATTTATATTTCAAATATGTCAGATTTTATTTATAAATGTTGACTGTTTTTTAAGCTTTATTTTCATGTTTTCTTTTTATATGTGCAATAAAATTTTAAATTTTGTTTTTTTTAGTTTTTTTTATGTTTTCTTTTTATATGTGCAATAAAATTTTAAATTTTGTTTTTTTAGTTTTTTTTATGTTTTCTTTTTATATGTGCAATAAATTTTAAAATTATTTTTTCTTTATAGGACATAAAACTTGGTTCATTTTTTAAATTAATGAGAAATTATTCTAATATAAAAGATATTTAATTAACATTCATCATCTATTCCTTAATCAATTAGAAATCGTATATTTTAAAAGGTAATATGGGTATTTTCACTTAAGTGAATCTGCACATACATTAATTATAAAATAGAATCTGCCTCCTCATCTCATCCTCTACCAACTATATCTAGAAGTGTGCAGTGGCCAGCCAGCAATTTTTTTTGCTATACCGAAATCGTCTCCATATATGAAAATCAGGCCATGGCCAGTCTAAATTTTTTTTAAATATATATTTATTCTAAGTCGGCCAATATCAATGTTGTAATTTTTTTTAAACCTTATTTTGACATCTTAATTATTTTTAACATCATTTTTAGAATTCAATCAATCAAAAATCTAAGAATTCAAAAGTTACCATAATTTTGAATATTTTTAAAATGAAGACCCAATGTTAGAAAAAGTTTTAATTAGATGAATATGAACATCATTTATGCTTGGGTTATGATTTACAGCTGGTTATCGTGGATGGTAATAATTACCTTTTATTGAAAATCTTATCAAAAGAATAAGAGAAATTATTATTTCTCTAAGATATAAAATTGCAGAGATTGGATTTGAGTTCGAGACAGATTAAGAAAAATGTCTAAATACAGGATCTAACTTCAGATATGCGAAATATTGATAGTTCTGATCTATACCCTGATATATTCCAATTATGATAATAACAATAATTCTATACATATGAAAGAATCTAGGAAAATAATTCCCCAAAATCCCCGTTTTTTAAGATATTAAAAATTAAAAAAATAGGAGAAAAAAATTTCCCTATAAATATATCCATGGAATAAAAATCCTTAAATAATATATTTAAAAAATTTTGAGAAAATCAATTCCAAGAGAATTATTATTGGAGATTTTTATTTTCGGGGAATTATTTTCCTCTTACCCATATGAAAACATTAAAATTAAATGTTTCAACCAGGTTGCATAGTATATTGATTATATTTGAAAGCATATCAGGAGCAAATAAAGATTTAATTAATAACGTTTTGAGAGGGATTAGGAAACTCTATCTCAACCTATCCTTATGTATCAGGTAAGAATTATTAGTCTTTCAAAAAAAGAAACAGTTGAATTTCTATATTCATAAAAAGGCCTATGAGTGAAATTCAAACAAATTTAATAGTAAATGATAATGATAGCTCAGAAAATCATTTCCCTGTAGGAAAATCTGCTATAAAAAAAACTTGCGTTAAGATTTCCGGTTTGTGATCTGCAATTAATAATATAAATTTCTAGGTGATTGGCTTCTCTTCTAGACCCAAGATTTCAAGATTTGAAAATTGTGTCAAAGTATATAATAGAACAAAATTAATCAGCGTCAGAATTTACTATAAAACGTTTAAACTTTATAGAGTATTGTATTAGTGTAGTAAATTTAGCGATTGAGAATCAAGATGAAATATTAAATTCAAATTATTTGGTAAAATTAGCAACTAAACATTCGATAACAAGTTACAAATTGTGATTCCACTTTAAATAATTTAGAACAAGAATGCCATATTGTTTTAGAAAATACGCTATTCAGATATGAATGTCCTAAATTTCTGGCGAGAAAAAAGGATCGAACTTCCTTATCTTTCCACGCTAGCTAAAGAGAATTCTTTGTCTTCCAACAACTAGCACACTTAATGAAAGAGTTTTTTCTACCCCTGAGTTAACGTTAAATTCAAAGAGACGATCAATATGTCAGGAAAATTTAAATATTTTTTTATACATGACAATTATAAAATTACAAAACGATTTTGAATTTATGCCGAGATGTCTGTAGTGTAGCATATATTTTAATTTAATTTTTCTTAAAAAAAAATAATTAGAAAAATTTATAACGGTGCGCCGATTTACGCGCGGCGCCAACCGCCGATCATATTTTTGAAACTCGCGCCTGACCCCGATATTTTCGTCCGCGTACAGGTCTAACTATATCAAATTCGAATTTGATTTTTGGTACAATAAAATCTCCCTTTAAGCACATCTCTAACTTCTTGCCAGACTATAATTGGAATGTTAATCTCCAAGAAGATCCCACAGGAAAATTGTTTCGCCCGAAGTATTAAAAATAATTCTGAGTTTATTTTATAATTAAATTACCAAAATCATCAATGCCACGGATCATTCAAAATACAGAAGCCCATTTTTTTGGCAACGTAAAATATATATTTTTTTAAAACTCTATGTGATTCTGCCTCAGTAGAGCAATAAACAAACAGCCTGTGTTAGCCCTCATTGTATAAACCCTCAAAAAGAATAGCAGCCAATTTTTAACAATGTATTGAAAAAATTGGTTATTGACCTTATTAGAATCAGTAGCCTCTTCCATAGAATTTTTAATGGGGAAAGGAGGGGGGGGGGGGTGGGGTCGGTTCCGTTCCTATAAACTAAGAGGGGTTTTCTGGTTTCTGTTCCCTGACCCGAAATTCACTAATAAATATTGATTTTAATTATTCGAGTGTTATTAAATGATTGACTAAATTAATTCAATGTGTATATCAATTTATTTTCCCCAAAATACAACTTTAGGCCCAATATATGTCCATAACCTTCTTTTTTTTTATCGGACAAGAGATATTAAAATTTAAATGTTTTGCCATGTAGGGTAATGGATATATTCATATTAAGATACAATAAAAGAATTTTTTGAATATATATACATATATTAACCCTCAATACTCTGACTTTCTACCTTAACCTTTTCTATGTAAATAACGAATGTTCTTTTTTTTTCACTCATGGCAAATTTTTTGATTCTAGGCTTCCTAGATTGATTGTATATAAATTATTTAAGCTTGATTAGATGAAAAATGACAAATTTTAAAATCAAAAATTTATTTGATATAATTTTTCCCTTTTAGCAATCTAATAATATAATTTAGTATAATTCCCCCCCCCCCTAACAATTTAATATTGTTATTACAAAGAATTTAAATTTTTTTAAAATCTAATATAATTAAATTTCATTGTCCCAAAATTTTAAACATTGTATAGTTTTCTTAACATGGTTTGCAATTGTAGTTATATGGAAAATCACAATACTGGCCATTAGGATTAAAGATAGTGCCAGATGCGCATGGCATAATAGCTTGATTTGCTCCAGGCTGACAATTTACGTATTTGCTTTTTGAAAAATAAATAGAAATTAAAAAGTAATAATAATATTATTTATTTAGTTAGATTCTGCGAGATTAAAACAATTACAGTAATATAATGATAAAATATTGATAAATATTAGTGTTTCGATAACGATATAATCTATTAAACCGCAATTTTTTTTGAGAAGTATATAACATATAAATATTCATCCTAAAGGAAAAGTTATTTTATTAAAATTCAACCTGCAATCAGGTGGATAAGCCGCCAAGACGGGTCCCGCTTTCTGACAAATTTGGCTAGGGTCACTAACACATCCAATGCTTCCACTGGTAGTCGTAGTTTTTGAAGTACTAGGTGTAGTAGTTTTCGAAGTACTTCCAGAACTGCTAGATCGCGTGGTAGTCTTGGTTGTTGAATTTGTGCTTTGTTTGGTGGTTGTGCTTCCGCCCCCACTGCACCCTTGCATGGAATTGCTAATGGCGCGAATCAAACTCTTACTAGAATCTTGAGCTAATTCCCATATCATTACTCCCGCCATGTTATTCTGGCAGGCCCATTGAACCTATCATCAAAATAATGCAATAAATCCCTCAGATGACTCTTTATTAATCTATCGCTAAAGATCCGCAGGGGTAACTTGAAGGACCCGTTTTAATCGGAACTTTATTTCAAAATTTAACTTGAGCACTTGCTAAAAATTTTATTTAGTGATAATTTATTAGCGTAACAATATCGGCAAATATTCCTATATTTAAAAACAAAATACCAATTACTTTCTATTATATTTTAGTGTTTATAATATATTGAAACAATTTATATATTTTTTTTCTTAAATAATAAATCATAATATATTTAAATTATTCGTCTCTTGATTTGATTATTTTTATCGAATAAAATTCCTTATTCGTAATCGATCATTCGATTTTGGTTAAATTCTTTTAAGAAAATGCTTAAATTTTTTTTAAAAAAAGTGATTTATATAGATGTGGAAAAATAGAGAGTTTCGCAAGGAACATGCTGAATTCTTTATGAATAATTTAGAATACCTACAAATTATTACGAATAATTAGATTAAAAATTTTAAAAAAACTATTCGACATTTAATATATATTACCCTTATTCTTATTCAATTGGAAAATTTGAAAATAGAATAATTTGTTTTTAGGTATACAATTATATATATAGTAGTACCTATATGTTTTCTTACGCTCACAGTTGAAAGGAATGATGTTTTACTTTTTTTAATATTATTTATAGTAAAATAATAATGATTGTACCTTGTTAGTGACACTTTTTTCGTTATCGTAGCTAAGCCATTCGGATCCACTGACTGCATAAGGCACTTCTGCTGTATCATCCCAATATTCTTGCCAAGTTCGGCTTTTTATCTTGTCAGTGGATAATTGAAAATAACGAATAAATAAGCCACCATATTATTTTAAAAATAATATTGTCTTATTAAAGCAAATGATATATTGTAGTTTTATTTATAAATGTATATAACTTTAATTTATTTATCATCTATTTAATCTTTTATTTAAGTATAATATTGCTATAAAAAGCCATGTCGTGCGATATAATCTTACTCATGTCAGTTCGAGGTAGATATTTAGGAACTCAGTGTCTATTCTATGTGAACAGGTCTTAACATTTATTAACAATTAAATTGCCTTTCTGTTTAAGCTTCACTTTATAAAAAAAAGAAGTTGATTTGAGTGTAATATATTATAATATTCATGAGGGACTCTAACTTGAGTATAGGTTAAAACTCCATCCTCCCCAGAGCCATATCCGGATGCAGGTGCACCAACATTGGTATTGGATGTTGTTAATTTCCAGGTTCTTCCGTAAAATGGTAAACCTATTACCATAATATTCTGATTTAGACCAACTTTTTTCCATTCGTCAACCGAACCTTTCTAAATATTACGAAAATAAATTCATAAATTGTTTTTTAAAGCGAAATATTATTACAGTTGTATAGACTCCGGTCCCCAAAAGTGGAGAATTATGACCGGTTTGAGATTCCCAACCTGCTGAATGATAGTCATAGGTCATAATAGCTGCATAATCTAAATACCTGATATAGGGATGCATCAAATAATATAATTTAGAAATATTTCTAAAAGTTAGAGAGATAAAACATTTATGAAAAATAAATGACTTGTTCATAGCACTAGTATCAAATCCTCCAAAATTTTGATTCCCAGCTGGCACCGCGGACATTACTATTTTACTGGGAAACGCTGCTCTGAGACTCTTTTATATAATTATCGCATTTTTAAAAAAAAACATATTTTGTTTTGTCTATTATTTATAATTGTAAGTTAAATTCAATAGTAATTTGTCATCTTGTTACATATTTTCATGTTGTTAGGATCTAATCAATAATTAGTTTTACACCTGACATTATTTTTTATTTAAAAAAAATACAGTTTATGTTTTTTTAAAAAAATCAAATTAGCTCTAGTAAGAAATATTTGTTTTTTTCCTGTTTTTTTAAAACCTTCAAAATGTTGGCGTATGTAGTCTTTTCGGTAGAACTTATAGGATACTCCCAGTCTATATCGATACCATCTAAATTGTATGATGAATCTAGCGTCACGCAACTGCTCACGAATTTGCTTAACGCACTTGACGAAGCTAAGTAACTAAAATTATATCCATAATAAGTAATTTATGAAGTATATTACATTTAAGGGGTTACCAATCTTAACGTGAATTAATTTAAAATTTTTTGTTTAATGATTTACCCAAACATATAGGTATACGAGGCACCTCCAATGCTAGGCACTATCTTGAGACTTGGATTTTGACTTTTAAAGTCCTTCAACTTCTGAAAATCGGCTAATTTATAAATACGCATAAACATTTTATATAATTTTAAATAAAAAAATATTCATCAATAGGTCATAAATCTCTTCTTTTATTCCTATTTTAATTATCAAAATTTAAGTTGGAATTAGATGTTGCAGCAGTTACCAGTTATATATTTATAAAATTTTAACAGGTCTAAGTTATATAATTCAAAGTTTAATAGGTTTAAATACAATGACTTTTATGGATAAGATTTGAAAGGATTAAAACTTGAAAGAAAGAAAGAAAGAAAGAAAGAAAGAAAGAAAGAAAGAAAGAAAGAAAGAAAGAAAGAAAGAAAGATGAACAAAATTATATTAAAAAATATTTTTTACAGGCGCTATAACTCACGCTACCATCTTGATTGATACCGACAAAAGCGTAGAGTAAATGGGTGATTGAATTCGCATCTACCGTTGACAAATCTAGAGGCCAGTTTGGCACGTATCCTATTATCACACCACCTAAAAAAATAATTTAATAAATATATAATTAATAATTATATTATTTCAACATTTCTAAAATTATTTTTACTTTCTATAAATGTCGGTATCGTTATTAAGCATACGAGAGCCGTCAATGAGAGAAAAGTTTTCAAAGGTTGAAAAAACATTATGTTTTAAATATTATAAGAAATGTAAAAAAATTACTATTTTTTTTAAGGAAAGTTTAGAGAAATAATATATAAAACCTTTACTCTTTTTTTTCTTGGGTTTTTATAGAAATTATTTAAACGAATATAAAATGTTAAAAATATCTCCACTTTTTTTTTTATTATAGTCATTAATAGAACACATTTGCAAATTATTTATTCAGTTGTATTCTTTTGATAAAAAATTTTTTTACCTTGATTTTGATAATAAATATTTTAAAAATAGATACCAAATTTATTTCTTCTCTCAATTTTTATGTTCAATAATATAAAAAAAAATTTACACTTTTTAGGTTATTAGAAGGTATATCGATAAAATTATTTTAAATTCCCCCCAAAAGAGTATTTTCCTATCTTTTATAGGAATAAATCCTTTTATTCTAATAGAAGTCCGTCATTTCCTCTTCCTATTTCCTGATGTAGGCCCAAATTCCTGGCTCCTCATTCGTTCTTTTCCTAACGAGCGCCAACCTCCCTCTCCCTTCACCCTCTTCCCTTCAATTTATTTGTTCAGGTTTTATCTACAAAATAAGTAAAATAACTAGTAATATAATATTAAAAATAACTTTATCAAATAAAATTGAACACTCTTTTAATTTTATTATAAAAATTGATAATATGATTTTTTATAAATTTATTTATAAATATATTTTTAAAAAGTTTTGACAATTTTTATTAAATTTTTTTGTTTTAAACATCCAAAAATAGAAAAATTGCATATTAAAAAAAAAGACATCTGGAATAAAAAAAAAATCGATTAAATATATACATGTCGCAGAATTGATAGACGGGTGCCATTTTTCAGAGTTGTCCACATACAATCAGGGTTGGGCAAATACCCCCCCCCCCAAAAAAAAAATAATAAAATAAAATAAAATAATGTAATTAGAATACAAATACAATTCCGGAAAAAAAGTATTTGAATATGTTAGCGTCAATGCGTTTTTTTCCGGTAATGTGTTGTATTTCCAACTTTGAATCATTTTTTTAAAGCGCATTTTAAATCATTTTTTTAAAGCGCATTTTTAGAAATTTATATAAATTTTACCGAAAATGTTTTCCGTCTTATTTGGAATACCTACCCTATGAATTTCAGACAAATTTTTTCCAAAAATTTTTAAACTTAATAAAATTTATATCGAATTTTTTTTTTATTTTTTTTTTAAATATAAATTATAACTCAAAGCTTATCCTTAGAATTATCTACAATTCCTAAGATACGTATTCTAAACATGCTGGATTACATTTTCGGTAAAATCAAAATTTAAAATATAAAAAATACGCGCTCAAAAAACGATATAAAGTTGAAAAAATCTAACACAACAATGCCGGAAAAAACAAATATAATAGAAATAATTTTTGAAAATTTGTAACTGGATTTTTATACAGTACCACTTATTAAAAAAACAAAATAATTTTTAAAATAACTTAAATTATATTTATGATTATTAACCATTTTTAAAAAAAATTCTAAAATTATTACCTAAATATCAATCATATCACAAATGTTCAGATCATATCTTATCTGCAAGTGATACAAACAATGTAAACAGTGACATGGGACTTTGAGTAAGTCTGTGGAGCGGAACCGAAGAGTGTATTCCGGGGTCCTGGAACGTTCCTAAAAATATAATTTTTTTAAATATTTATCTACACTAATAGTGGGCACAAATTGAACGTTCAAATAAAATAACTTAAACGTAGCTATGTTTAAATTGAAGCGTTAACTTTTATTTTTTTTTCCAATATGAAACGTCTAAATTCTAAGCAAAAAAAATAGGCTAACCCTATATTTATTTAGCAAATCTCTTTGTAATATCATAATTCCGTAAGCTAAAAATATTATGGTATCATTTTATATAATTATTTTACTTTTTGGATGATGTTGTATCCATGCTATAGCTCTAAAATTTTAAAACGTTTTTTTTAAAAAAAAACGCAAGATATTTTTATTTATTTTTTAATAAATAATTTAAAATGCAAAACGGAAATGTTTACAATTTAAAACGAATGCATTTGAAATTCATTTATTTGCGTTTTTTCACTGCGTTGTGCGCGCTATAACGCCGCAAAGAACCGATATGAAATGATAATCCTTTAGAAAATATATTATTTCCCTCGATAAAAATAATTGATCATTTTTTAAATGGTTAAATAAAGATTAATTTAAAGGAAACAGAACTTATTTTTTGACCGGGAAGGCAAAAATGTTTCAAATTCCTGATTACAAACAATATATTAATTGCAGCTGCATTTAGAGATCCGCAATGCCTAGCCCGGTTGGATCGGGTTGGGTAACGTCTAAGTTTTTGTTATTTGAACTGGGCGGGCAAGATAATTATTGGGCCCTGGCCGGGCAGAGAGAATAGATAGAAAAAAAATATGTTTTTCTTAAGCTTAATTTTTGTTAAAACATTATCTTTTATTTTATTTACAATATTAATGATAAAGTATGGCCTGGATACTATGATCATTCATCATAAATGCGTTTTTTCCTTTTCTTATCTTTCACTGTTTAATGCCATAATAAGAAAAATCATGAAACCCGAATCCTCACTCTTATTGGTTATTTTTCCATAGGATATATTTCCGTATTTTAAAAAATCCGCCACTCCTAGCAACTTTAGTAAAAAAAATAGAAAACGGGCCTGATTAGGTCGGACCTGGAGATAACCAAATCCCAACCAATCCAGGTCTGGAAATCTTGAGACTTCTAAGCAGCATATCATATAAATTATATTGTAATTGCTAATATCTATTGCACAGTTTTATAGAATATCATAAAACATCATACATAATAGTGGGCACAGATTGAACGTTTCAGCGAAGCCTTTCAAAACCATTCGTTTGAATTAGAAAATTTTCGTTTTGCATTTTAAATTATTTATTAAATAAAACAAAATATCTTGCGTTTTTTTGAAACGTTTTTAAATTTTGAAATGATACCATGAATAAATATATTAAAAGATACAATAATATTTTCAGCTTATGGAATTATGATAAATTCAAATAAAATCGTATATAAATATATATAAAAACCATTGGCATACGATAATACCTAGACTGACAATGCATTCATTAAAAATGTTCATCAATGAAAAACAGCTGGGGACGCCATTTTTGTTACCCATATCATTATTAAAAATTTTAAACGAGAGACCAATTTATTCCTATTTCCGACGCAAACTTTATTAAAGAATTGCCTTATCATCGAGATAATAAGGAAGGAAGCAAGTTATCAATTTAATAAACATGAGAATAATTACTGTATGGGTAACCAAAATGGAGGGTCCAGCTGATTTGTATTCAACGACGAATTCAAATGCATTATTATGAATGAAACGTCAGTCTAGATATTATTATATGTCATTGGTTCAAACATAATCATATAAAATATCATTCTATCCATAATTTGGCCTATTATTCAAATTTTTCCAAAGTAATGATATTTTTAACCGAAGAAGAATAGGCGAAATAGATTAATATATATTTTAAAAAAAAAAATTCAAGATAATTTTAAAATTATTTATCGAGCAGTGCTCATCTTTAAATAAATTATATTTCTAACTATAATTGTTGAAGCTTCTTTTTAAAAAAAAATTTAATAAATTAATATATACATATATAACCATATTCCAATAACTATTATATAATATTATATAAAAACTCGTTCAATATAAACGTAGGTGGGACTACATGTTCCCAAAAAGCATGAATAATTCTATTTTTTTAAATTGCAATTTGAGTATTTTTGTTTTAAAATATCATACCCTTTGGGTTCTGATGTAAGGGCTTTCTATATATTTTTTTAAAAATTTTAAAGTTCCGTTTGACATATGTTCCAAGGGAAGAGATTACAATTGGTAAAAATAGGATATAATTTGTTAATTTCGAATATTTAATTGTTTTTTTTTCTCGACTATATCAACCGGGTTAGAATTTACATTTTTTGGAAAGGAAGAGCGCCATGTGAAGTATGTGAAGTCCCAAATTGAGGATTTACCTAAAGACCTAGGTATAGAAGTTAATTTATCTCCTGGCCTTAATGGTAAATTATCAGCCTCCAGAATGTTTGGTATTCGCATAAGAGAACTATAATGAAATTAATTGCTGCTAGTCTTGCATGGACTGCCTTGACTATATATACAATTAAGACCATGTCATTTAATGCATGTATGTGATTAAACTATATTACATTCAATTCCATGTCCTAATGGCAACTTTATTCACGTGATAAGAGGTTACTTAGGTTACGACTTAGTAATGCTATGACTCCAACTATTCATAACCACTAGTACAGTCAGCATTTTATAATTTGAATATATTCCATAAAAGGATTTGATGTGAGTACTAAAAGTTAGATAAGTGATTGATGTATTAAAACTGGTGAACCTTATATTCATTTTCTTTAAGGATTTTAAAACCCCTGGACTTCAAGCGCATTTGAATTTAAAAAGTACATTTCAGATTTAGTTTCATTTAGAATAAGATCCATGTTTTCAGTTCTATATAAACTATCTCAGTTAAAATATTTTCAGATAAAACATTTTATAAAATTTTTTAAAAAAAACGACTTTTGCAACATGAGGGCTTCATTCCTAAGGCATGTGGTGAAAATATTTCACTATATCCTGTCCCTCTATTTTTCAAAAATATAAGGGCTCTTTTAAACCTTCCATCTAAAATTATTAAATAGCCATATAGAGGATGTGGACGTTATTGGGGTTACGGATTCTCTGGTAAGAATATCTTATATGGTATTTAAAAGTGGTGCTAGTTCTATATCATCCTTTTTCATAAAAAATTTATATCTCCCAGTTTCACTTTAGTTAAATTACTCATTTTAAAAATATAACGGGTTAAACAGATATGACTGTTAATTTTCGTTCGGGTCACAAATCGAATATTTAAATCAATAAAATTGTTTTGAAATTCAATTTAAAATATATAATATAAAATAA